GGGGGGCCCCCCCCCGGGGGGGGTCCGTTTTTTAAAAAAAAAAAAAAGGGAATTTTTCCCCCAACTTTTTTTAAAGGGGCCCCCCCCCCCCCCCCCCCCCCCCTTCCGGGGCGCCCTTTTTTCGCCGCCGTTGATCGATCCTGCTGTGGAAAAAATGCTGCCCCATCCACTGGAGGACGCGTGGTCAATGGTCTAACCGTTAAGGTACCCAAAATATAGTACTCCCGCCCCTCCCCCCCCCCCCGCGGGATGCCCAATCAACCCATGACACAGCAAACGCATAGGATGATGATCAGCTCCTATGTCATCCTCGTGACACTTAGCCTGGGCGGGCTTAAACCCGGCATATCGCTCCGTCCCAGCACTGAAGGGATGCGACGTCTCATGACTACGGACGGTTGTGAGTATGTACCACACGGCACAACCACAACATTCAAACGGATATGACTCGTTTCTCGAGTTTTCTGCAAGGCTACAGTTGCTTCTCCCGAGGTCTTTGGAACCCGCTTCGGCCATTTTTTCTATGCCGAGCACTGTAGAGACATTTTTCGCAACCGGCTGCAATATCTACCAGGAGAGACTTGAAAAGCGAGAAAACGAGTCTAAACTAACTGTCCAAAGAACCATCCGCTCCAAGCCACCACAACGACAACAAGAACAGTAAATACGACATCCACGTTGTTAAAAAACTAGTCTCTTGGCGTCGAGAGAATTCTCGCACAAGAAATCTCCCCAGCTTTTGGTGTCACCTTTTCAACATCGCAAGACTCAAAGGCAGAAAAAAAAAAGAGTCAAAACTAACCGTTCGAATAACCGTCCGCTCCCATCCATAACAAGCACAACAAGAACAGCAAATACGACATCCACGGTACCGAACTACCGTATACTATACAAGATAACACACCCGCTGTGCCGACTGTCAAAGCTCGATTACGCCACGAGCTAAAGAGGATGCATACACGCAACGATACGTTATAGGAGAGCTCTCGACCAGGCGGTTTCAGACGCCGCTGTTTTCGGCGCTGCGACTCTTACCGCTGTTGATAAATCGAGCTTTGAAAATCGGTCCAGGGCGTGCGTCATCTTGTGTCGAAAAAAGTAGCCTCATGGTGTCGAGAGAGTTCTCACACAACAAATCTCCCCAGTTGTCGGATGTCTTCTCCAAAGAATGAAGCCAAATACGAGTCAAAGGGGATGTCGAAAGAACCGTCTACTCACAGCCCCCACAACGATGGCCTTCCGACTTACGAAGTTCAGGCTCAAAACAGACACAATTCAAAACTTGGCACTAAGAACAACAGGTGCTTAACTGAAACAGTCTACACTAAAACGTATAGTATATAGTCGCTGGGGGCATATACCCCATATGGAGATAATAAGAAACGATCGTCGGCCAAAACGAGACATTCGCATTAGCGCGGGCCGTAAAACACAACAGCCGACCCTCGAAACCAAAGCCGCACTCGAAACGCAACAACTGCAGTCGACCCATCTCCTAATCATGGCCATCGATAGTCACAACCGCCCCCGGCCCACACACCACCGACCGCTCTGGGAGAGTCGGCGTTGGTGCCAAAAGAGGAGGAGGCTCGTTAAAATCCCACCAATTGCAATCTCGACTAGCGGTGGGGCCAAAGGAAGACGAGAAGACCAATACTAGCTCTCGCTTGCTCCAGCAAATCTCAATCAGATGCCGGAGCATCATGCGCCTCTAGCTCCCGCTTCTAGCAATGTCAATCAGATGCCGGAGCATCGTGCCCCTCTAGCTCCCGCTTGCCCCAGCAATGTCAACCAGATGCCACAGCATCTTTCCCTCGACGAGCTTGACCGGCTCGTGGAAGTGGATCGAGCGGTCGATGCGGTAGCACGACATGCTGCTGTACAGGCTATCTCTGTCCCGCAGCAAGAACACCCTTCCTCCTCCTCCGCCTCCTCCTCGTTGTTGCTGTTCGCAGTCTTGGTGCTGTTCGCAGCCTTGTTTAGCCGCAGCTTGTTCCGCCGCAGCTTCGTCTATGACCTGCTCCTGGATCCTGTGCAGCTGCTGCAGGAAGTAGTCGTGCTCGCTGCCCGGGTTGAACGGGTTGTTCTGCAGCAGGAAGACCAGGGGCGGAGGAGACCCGCCACCACCACCGCCGCCGCCGCCGTCCGCGGCCTCGGTGCTCCTACTGCTATTGCTGCCGTGTCCGTCCGACTCGTGCACCGCCACCTCGGACGACACGCCGCCGTCGCCGCCGCCGCCGCCGCGGCCGCCGCCCCGGAGCTTCTTGTCCGCGATGCCGTCCCTCCTGCCGTCCGCGTTGACTGCTACCTGACCCCCTCCTCCTCCTCCTGTTGCTTCCGATAAAGACGGATCTTTGCCGCCGCCGCCGCCGCCGCCACCGTCGCCAACTGATGCCCGTGATGCCGCCCCCGCCCCCGCCCCCGCCCCCGCCGCCGCCACCTCGACGAGCTCGCGGGTGGCGTCCCGGCAGGTCTGGAGGGCGGCCGCCGTCGGCCCGTCCGTCGCCACCGCCGCCTGCGGGAGACCCATCGGATACCACTGGTTCAGCTCCGGGTCCCTCTCGGCCTTCCGCAGCTCCGTGGCGTCGTGGACCCCGAAAGCCGTGAAGATGACCGTGCGCCTGGGGCTGTCGTTTTCATCGTCGTTTTCATCGTCGTCGCCGTCGTAGTTGTTGTCGCTACCGTACGTGCTGCTCCTGAAGCCCAGGGCGTCCCGCACGGCGGCGCTGACCCCGCCGCCCACGGAGCAGCAAGGCGCCCACAGGAACGTAACCTTCGCGCACCGCCGCGAAAACGAAGCAGCAGTAACAATCGAGATCGGAGGCCGGAGACGCGCGTCAGGTTTTGGAGGTAACCAGGGAGACCGGCACAAGCGGACGTCTTCATTGTCGTAGTATATTTTTTTCGATATATACCACAACGAACCCATCCATTTCGAGGGTTCAGGATAAATTGTTAGCCCGTGGCGTTCGTTGTCACACGGACAGGTTTGGGGAAACAACCCGGGAGCCAAGCGGCCATCCTCATCGCTGCCAACCTAATCATTACCATCGCGATGAATACGTGTTTTCACCCGGTACGTTTATTCACCCTCTCGCTCTTGCACCCCCTACTTACTATGTACCGTTAATCGAAGCTGCGGGGGGGGAGGGGGGGGGGGTCAACGGGGGACTATTGCACCGTTGTTCTCCGATGATGATGATGGTCGATACTTCGGCGAGCAAGCCACAGCGCACACCCCCAGCCCACCGACCACCGCCCTGCCCTACGATGTTTCAGGCGAACCGGCCGCACACCTGCCGTCGAGGACAGCAATGCCTATTGGCCCACGTTGTTTGATTTTTTTTTCCCAAAATTGTGACGTTCTCGGACCGGATGTTCGTTACCTTTTTCGTTTTTCGTCGCTCTAAAAAAGCGTTTCACAGCACTTCGTGGTCACACAGAAGAGTCCTTCCCCCATACCGTAGGTCCCCTACCAAGCCTACCTACCAGTCATTTAACTCAGATGGGATACGGGTGCCCCATGTGCTGCGAGCTCACACGTTCCCGTTTAAATTGTTTCTCACAAGCTACGAATCGAGATGGGTGACGCGCATGTAGGTAAACCTGTGTGCTGCGAGTTCACTCCCACCTTCAGGTCCCCCCTGGACATGTCGATGCGGTGATGCACGACCGGGTGGGTTGACGCCCGACCCGAAACGATCGAGACGAAGCTCTCCGCGAGCCTGCGAGTCGTGCTATCCCCAATGAAGAGAAACTCGTACTTCGAGGCCAAGTCCAAGAGCTTCTCGTCCGGCATTCGGGTCTGGGGGGGGGGGCGAGCGAGAGCGGTCGAGGGACAAGAAGCGCCAGGTCAGTAGCCTTGCCTTCCCGGAATAAAGCTTGGTTTTAGGAAGGGCTACGGGCTTGGGTCGGGGATGAGGGTTAGGGTCATGAAAGCTCCCTCCCTCTCTTTATTTCACGTGGTGTATGAATAACGTTCTTCACTCTCGCGAGGCGGGTCCAGCCAGGCTTCAGCCAAATACCGACACGTGTGCTGCTGTACGTCTGCTCTCGCCCCGCGAAGAGGATTGATGCTTGCGCTCGTCTGCACCCACCAAGTCCGCGCAAAATAAACACGTTAGAGATGCAACCTTTGTGTAGCGATGTATGTGCACGGTGTTTGGCCAGGCACGTCATGCCGCTGTGGACCAGGGCTCGAACCTCGACCACAGGAGAAGAACCGGTGGTGCCGACGAGAAGAAAAAATTGCGCTGGAAACATCTCGTCGACAAATTTCCGAACATGTGTAGCTCATTTTGGCACCCGCTGGAAAGTGAAGCAATCGAGCCTTGAAACTCAACCTCTATAAGAGGGCCAGTTGTGTACGAAAGACAAGGATGTCGATGCTTTATGCACCAGAGGGCAGTGTGCCCGAACAACGATGTATGGAGCGCTGTTTTTTGCTCGCGGGTGTCATTAAGTCTAGTGTGTACCCGTCCAGAAGTAGAGAGAGAGAGAAAACAGATAGAAAGAGAGCCAGAGAAAAGAGAGAGAGAGAGAGAGAGAGAGAGAGAGAGAGAGAGAGAGAGAGAAGCACGCCGACCGAACGCACCTCAAACCCGCAGGACGCGTCCCCGGACTCCATCAAGGGCACCCGGTACTGGTCCGCAAGCACCGGCTCGTCGCAGCCGAACCCGGGCAGCACAAGCTGCCGCGCGCAATCGGACACCAGCCGGTGCACACCCCCTGGTTGCCCCGCCGATTCGTTCCCGTCGCCCCCCCCTCTCGTCGCCGTGCTAGCCCCTTCTCCTCCACCCCCCGCGAAGTCTTCCGCCACCGCTGGGGGGGGGAGGTCGCCCGCGCTTGTCGTCGCGGTGGTAGACGCCGCCGCCGCCGCTGACCGGGCGTCTTCTGTCCAAGCCGACCAGTCTACCGGAGGGTTATCCCGGCCGATGCCCATCACCACAACCACCAGCCCCACCAGGGCGGCGCACAGCCAGGCGGTCGCCCAGCCCCAGGTCACGAGCTTGACCGGCACCGGCGTTGTTCGTCGCCGGTCTCCTTCCGGGCTGGCATCTGTTGTGACATCTCCTTCCTTCGCGCCGGGGAGCGGGTCCCAGCCTCGCAGTAAGCCTGACAGCTGCTGCTGCTGCTGCTGTCTCTCCTCCGGGTTGGCATCCGTCGTTATCTTCTCCTTCGCGCAGCAGGAGAGCGGCTCCTCCTCATCCCCCCGCACGCCCCCCCGCACGTCCCCCCGTCGCCGCCCCTGGTGTTCATGCCAGCCACGCATGGAGACCATCGAGAGCAGGCGAAAAAAAAAAAAAAAAAAGACGAGAAAAGCGGAGGAATTAGGTGACGGTGTGAGAGAGTGCTCCGCCGCGTGCAGATGAAGCTCGCTCAAGAGGCTGCATTTTGCCCTCTAGACACCCTGCCGTCCACGTCGGGCAAGCATCTACCGCTGTTTAGGTAAAACACTCCCAAAACACGGCCGCGTGTCTGTACCGCTTGCACCGCGGTAGCGACGATGGCAACCGGCGAGGACCTAGCGCCGGCAACAGCAGTGGCAGCAGTGTGGAGCTCTTTTTCGCATCCGCTAGGCACCAGATACGAGCACGAAGCAACCATCGCCGTCACAACCAGAGAACCCACCGTTTGGCCGGGTTCCGCCGGGGAAAAACACCATGCCTCCGGCAAAGCGTTACCAAAACAACCAGCATCGGCGCAGCCAGCGAGAGCCTCTGGTAACATGGTTTGGTTTTGCGGGGAAAACATCACGCCTACTGCAAAGCGTTTTACCAAGACAACCAAGACAAGGGAGGAAACAAAACACCGCCGGAAGGGGACTCACCGCGTGCGAAGCGTCCGGGATCGGAACTTGTTCTGCCGGAACCCCGCCGGCGTTCTTGAACAGGCACTTCGGCATGTGATAACTGTCGCACGTGGCCCCCTCCTGTTCAGGTTGGTTGCCGAAAAGCAGCAGTAGCAGCAGCAGCAGCAGAGGGAGTGGGGAATAAGTTGTTTGTCTTTCGACGTGCGGCTCCTGTGTGGCGTTTTCCATAGTCCCACGTGTCCCCGGCCCTTGCATTCAGAAATTGTACCGAGAGGTGCGTAATGTAATAAAAAAGACAGACGGTCCAGAGGGTGAACGAAAAAAAAAAAAAAAAGTGTGATGATTTGTCATGTATCTCCTCCTTCGTGGGGGGGGGGGGGGGGAGACGCTTCGACAGAGACCGAAAAGAGAGAGGAGAACAGGGCGATTCATGAGCTCTATCGAGAAACACGACGGGAGGAAGGGCAGGCACGCAGGTGACTTTTCATGCCCGTGGTCCAGTACAATACCGATACAGTAGGTGGCCCGATACAGTGGCATGTAGGGACAAGAGGAGAATATGCCACTATTCAGGGCAACTAGGCCACTATTTGACATATCGTATGTGGCTTTTCATGCCCGTGGTACAGTACAATACCGGTACAGCAGTAGGTGGCCCGATACAGTGGCATGTAGTAGGGGCAAGAGGAGAAGTACGCCACTATTCAGGGCCGTTAGGCCGCTATTCGA